TTCGAGTCCTTCCTGTTCTCACCACCCCCCTTCGCAGTTCTATCTTCTCCTATTCGATCATACGTATATAGAGGGTGGAATAGGATGGGTTGGCTAGGGTGGTTTGGGGCATCGTAGAACGAGAATTCGCGAGGAAGAGATGGACGGGAGAAAGAGAGATGGATATAGGAGAAGGAGGTGGAGGAGCAGCAGCCGAATTCCTAGCATACCGCGGGGCCAACTGGTTAGCAAGCGATTTACGATATTGTAAACCGATGCGACGGCGGCGGCCGTGCCCACCGCCGAACCTCAATCTAATAGTGGCGACTTCGACCTCCAATGCCAAAGGCACGTCGCCCCCGAACCGGTAACATTGTTCGCCCCGCTTTTACTTCCGCCGCACGGTACAAACCTGGATGGACTCTCGATGCGACGAGTTTCTCATTCTCATGGTGAGTGGTTTGGAAGATGATGTCTAGGAGAAAGTGTTTGCATTTGTGATAAATGATTTTTTAGATTTGTTGCAGTGAAGAATTTGTTTGACAGAGATGAATTTTGGTGAGTCTCATAGGAAAGATAGGAAATTTCTTTTGATAAAGAATATTGCTTGTTTTAGACTAATAATAATTCAAAGATAACTTTGATTTTGGACTGATGAATTTGCCATTTTGATGAATCTAGGAAAACGATGTCTAAGAGGAAATATTTCTCATTTCTAATAAATGATTTTTAATATTTGTTGAAGTGGAGAGTTTGTTTGATAGAGATGAATCTTTGTAAGTATCAGTAGGAAAGATAATAAGAAATTTTTTTTTATAAAGAATATTGCTTGCTTGTTTTAGATTAATGATAAGAAGATACAGATGAATTCGAGAGTAATTTTAACTTTGGAGACGAATTTGCCATTTTGATGATGAATGTTTTGAAAAATGATGTCTACAGAAAATGTTTCCATTTGTAATAATTTTTGGAATTTAGAAAATTTGTTTGATGAAGATGAAACAAATAATCTTAGTAAGTGAAATAAGAAAAAGAGTAAAAAATTTCTTTTGTTAAAGAATATTGATTGTCTTGGATTGCCAATAAAAAAAATATAAACGAGTGTAAAAGTAAGTTGAAAGTTTGAAAGTTTTAAGAAATAGAAATATAAATGATTCATTCCAAATAGAATGCTTCTCGAATTTTGAGAGAAAATGTTTCTGTTTATGATTTTTGAGATTTTTTGGAATGGTTGATATTAATGTTTGATAGAAATGAAGTTGATAAATATCATAGTCTTATTATGAAGATGAAAATATAATTTTTAAATTTGTAAAAGTTTCTAATAAATCTGATTTAATAAAAAAATATTGATTGTCTTAGATTATAATATAACAATAAGAATTTGTTGAAATATATAAATAAATTGGAATTTTGATGTTAAAAAATATAAATAATCTATCTGAATTTAATTTCTTTTGAAATGACATTTGAAAGAAAATATTTCTTTTTGCAGGGAAATGGCAATAATTCATCATTACGGATATCGTGTTCTGAAATATAAATTCAAAAATAAAAAAAAAATCTTGACAGAAAACATACTCTCTCTCACATTGTGACCTGTTGAAAATTTGAATTTTGGGAATTTTTCTTCTCTACTGCCATTCCGGCAAAATTCTCTTAATCTTCTTCCATGAACAATCGTTCAAAATTAATTTCAGAATTCAATAATAACAACGTTTGTAATCCAGTAAACGGAAAGCATGGAGAGTATCCATGCCATGCGCATCGAATAATTAGAAGCGGGATTCGAGAAAATCGAAGGATGGAGAGATGCAGAAATGACTGAGCAGAGAAAAGACAGAGAAAGGGAGGCGCATTACAAACGTGGTGGTAATCTAGTTGCGAACGTAGCTCGGGGTTGGAGCCTGGAGCAACCATGCGGAATAATGATATGTAATCTCGAAACAACCTGCGGCCTCGCCAAGGTACACGCGAGCGGACGCGTGCGTGCACACGCGTGTGTTACACGTTACTTGCTCGCGTGTTACCATCCCAGAAGCTGTTGCGGAACAGGCGGAAGCGCTCGTGACCGCGGTAAATGACACGAGCAAACGAATCGACTGAAACGCATGCCCCTCTTCTCTCGACACCCACACCACCAGTATCTCTCGTTCATCGCCCTAACTTTCGCCGTTGTTACTCGCAGTTTGGACGTATACAACGAATCGCTTCCACTCTACCGATACCACCGCTAATTATAGTTTAATAATGATCCGGTCGCGCGTTAGTCCGCCGACAGCATTCTCGCCGACGAATTAAAATTGTATTGAGAGGGAGGGGTTGGTTAGAGTTTGGGAGAGCGAGCTCGGTGGATGATTGGCGAGACGGTATGTGAATGTTTCGAGAGATGATCTATTACAGTCTGAAGTTTTTTGATTGGTGGTAAGTTATTTTCTGACGGGAAAAGAAATTTAGATATTGAAAATGTTTTAATAGATATTATAATAGAATAGTTTGAATAGAGTTAGATAATTAAATATATAATTGTTTTAGAAATGTGAATGTGTTGGATGTGGATTTTTCAAGAGGTGAACAATGATTTGTTGCATGCAGAATGTAGTATTTTGATAATGGTAAGTTGTGAAAATAGTTTTATTAAAGGTAAATTTCGATATGTTTCATTTAAATAATATCTAATATTATTTTTATCATAGTATCATATTAGAAATGAAATAAATAGAGCTGGATGTGAATAATTAAATATATAATTGCTGCGTTTAGAAATGTTTGAATAGTTGAATATGAATGTTTCGAGGGGTAATTTGTTGTATAGAGAATGTAGATTTTGATTGGTGATAAGTTGTTGAAAGATAAATTTATAAACACGCAATAGACACGCAGATGCGTGTTCAGAGATATTTGTATAATTGACGTGTTTTAAGGATAATGCTCTGCATTCGCATAGAATATAGAATTTTTTGTTAATGATAAATTGTTTGGAGTATTTTTTGATCAAGTTTTTAAATTTTCATTACAATCTTACACAATTATTCCATGTTTAAAGATGCTTGAATTATTGAATAGAGAATAAATAATATCAGCATTTAGATACTATGAAAAGTTTGGATACTTTGTGAAACAATTTTAAATGTGTTTTTTAAAAAAGAAAAAAATATTGTAACGAATATATATATATATATATATATTCATT